AGGCCTTCTTGATTTTAAATTAAAAACTATACAGTAGGTCTATAACTCTAATAATAGATTATTATTTAAGACATGAACACAAGCTATATTCACAGAACCTTCACTCTCTGATAAACAGTCTCATACCACGTCCCTCCAGGATTTCATGGGCTTTTATTGGTATGGTTGTTGCCTAAACTGATGTGTATTGCGCATATATCTCTCGTATCTAGGCAACACAGTCTCTTAAAGGCACATTTCGGCTGCTACAGTTGTATTACTCAACCTTTCATGCAGGAAATTACAATAATTTGTGGAAATTTGTGGAAAAGTTGTGGCACAGAATTCATGGGGATTGGTTGAATTTGCTTGTTGTGGTCGCAACTTCCTGGATGTACTGAAGCACTAATGGAACAATGAGAAGAAACACAATGAATTTGTCAGAAAAAGAAGCTTATTAAGTATGTAAAAATATAACAAAATACAAAGTACAGACAGAGAATTGTATAAAAAGTTCATAAAAACACCAAAATTCATCCAAATCTCTGGTTTTTACACAAACTTCTTGCAGTTATTGTGTTCACTGTTTGAGTTCATTGTGCAGTTTATCAATTCTTCTCTACTGTTATTGTTATGCACCAAGTATAATAAGGAATATCCATAAAATAAGTCACTTAATCAGAGTACTCAGTGATAGAAAAGGGACATATTTCCTGTTTCTCAGAGACCTGCGGGGAAACTCTTTCCGTTGCGACTGTAAAATCAAGTGGCTGGTCGACTGGATGGAGAAGACCAACACTTCTGTTCCCGCCATCTACTGCGCCAGCCCCTTCGAATTCCAGGGACGCAGAATCCACGATCTGGCGCCACGAGACTTCAACTGCATCAGCGCAGGTTTGACTGTCGTCTCTTTCCGACATAAAGGTGGTGTGTCGCGGATTCTTGCATTAATTGTAATTCTGCGTTGTCCTCCCACAGACTTTGCTGTTTACGAGACCTTCCCTTTCCACTCTGTGTCTGTGGAGTCCTACGAGTTCAACGGGGATCAGTTTGTGACCTTTGCTCAGCCTGATTCGGGGTTCTGCACCCTGTACATCTGGGACCACGTGGAGATGGTCTTCAGGATGTTTCATAACATTACCTGTGAGTTTCCAGGCTACGAAAGCATAAATATTGTTCAAATATGTGCTTTAAAAAATGAAATCCTTACTCTGTGTGTCTCTCTTGCAGCTCGCTCTGCCGTGTACTGCAAACCAGTGGTCATAAGCAACAGTCTGTACATGGTTGTGGCTCAACTTTTCGGCGGATCTCACATCTACAAGTAAGACTGCTGATTCAGTGAGCTGTTGAGTTTCTTCTGAACAGCTCGACATCTTTAGAAAATACACTTTCATGTGTATTTCATGTGACAACTGTCACATCGACGCTGTAAACGTGTTGCTGGTGTCAGCAGACAATTAGCTTAGCTTAGCATAGAGACTGGAAACAAGGGGAAATACTAAGCCTGCTTTGTATAAAACTAACTAAATCCAGCACCCTATTTTTTGCTGATTTTCTCAGAGCTCAGATTAAAGGCTTTTATATCAAATCCGTCAATACGTACGGCACACTACACTCACCAAAACCACCAGTATTTGCATGACTACGTCATTCTCTCGCAGACTTTTGCCTAGAAAGCTGTTTTGGACGACGATAAGTAAATTCTCTTG